GATCAAAGTAACCATCTGGCAACATGTTGCTTACAAGATCAAAGTAACCACAGATGTTGCTAGCAACACATTGCAGGCTAGTATGGAGGCCTTTACAACTTGCAAGCTCCATTGACTCCTGTATAATACTGTGTTGCATGCATAGTCTATGTTGGGCTTTACATGTACATACACTATACATTAACAATACATGTGGTACTGAAATGATGACTTTAAATTCTTGTGGTCTTGAGAGTTATTGTACTGGGGTCATGCTTTAACTTCATGGGATGCATGTACATGTACATGTTTTTTTAATAGTCAGCAATGTCTATGCAATAACATAAATGATATATAGTACACTTATGTCTGTCATGATTTACTCATGAAATTTTTATTGTTCTTGTTTTTATTACCAAACAGAACTGTTCCTGCCTCAACTACTGCCAAGAGAAAACCAAAGCAACTAGAAGAGTAAGAGAGAGAGAGAGGGAGGGGGGAAGGAGAGAGAGAGACTGAGAGGGAGGGAGGAAGGAAGGGAGGAAGCTTCTTTCCAGTGTTGTTTTGGTAGGCATGATAATTTTAGTATTAGTATTAGTTTTAGTATTCAAAATAAAATAGTTTAGTTTTAGTTTTAGTAACCAAAAGTCAAGTAGTATTAGTTTTAGTTGTAGTTTTAGTTTTAGTTTTAGTTTTAGTTTTAGTTTTAGTTTTAATTAACCAAAACAACACTACTTCTTTCATACAGTATACAGTATATTCACATTATCATTTCCTTTGTCAATAGAGTAAAGCTCTCAATGGTATCAAAGACAGGCTCACCAGTGGATGAAGATAAAGTAGTTGAGGTACATATACATGTACATGTAACTAAAGCAAAAAAAGGATGGCAGAGTTGGAGGGTATTAATGCTGGAAGACTTATCATAGCTTCTTTAAAATTATAGTATAGCATTGTGTATATTACATGCATATATATACCAATTAGAATTTACAATTGTATACTGTTTCTCTTTTTTAGGGCATGTTAAGTGGAGCTATTGATGAATTCTTAAAAGGATTAATGGTAAACCTTATCTTCTATCATCTTCATTTCTCTCTCTCTCTTCTCTTTCTCAGCCACATTTATCCAAGAAGGCTCAGTCCAAAGCTAATCAAGTATTTGAAGATTCGGTTTCTAAATTTAAAGAACAGCTCGTCCGAAAAGAAGGCGACGTTACTTTAGTGACACCACTGGTATCATCAACAAGATCCAGAAGGAAATGAAATAAAATAATAACCTCCTTCTCCTCCTCCTCCTCTTCATTATTTTCTGTTAACTTATCCCTTGACTTTCAGTATATCAAATAAATGTAATCTATTATTATTACTATTATTATTATTATTATTATTATCAGTGTATGTACATACATGTATGTAAGCCTTTCTAGCTATATACCGTATAGTGGAAAATTTTCGTGGATCTCATGTTTTTTTTTTTCAAAACCCACGAAAATAAAATCTGCAAAAATTGATTCTATACAGTTTAAGATGGCCAAAATATAGAAAACCACGAAAATTAAAGCCATGAAATTGATTTTTGGACGGATCCGTGAAAATTTTGGGCCATTAAAATTTCCCATACGCATGTGTTGGTTGGCACAGTAATGTCTTTGAAGTCCTGCCACTTAGTGTGGGGACTAATTTAATATAGTACACCTACATCCATGTATGTGTACCTGTAGTAACAGCTAATCTGGTTATTCTTTTTCATTATGACATCTGTATAACCTAGTCTGTAGTAGCTCTATGCAAAGTGGACTTACTGTAGCTGAGTATTTTTTTACAATGACTAATCCAATGTTGTTACTTTTTTGTCATGTGGGAGTTTATGCTATACATGTACACCAGTAAAAGATGAGTAATGTTGATTTTAGAGTACAAAATGATTGCTTTTGTTTTATCAATAGCTCCTGCATGGTAATAAAACAATTTAAGTTATAAATGCAGCACCTTTTGTTTGATTGATAGATGTAGTACGTTGTACATCAGTGATTATCTGTGTCATAGGCTGTCAGATTAGCCCAGTCCCTATAGGGTACATGACTATCATTAAAGCTCAAAGCATGAATAAGCTAAATAGATCTATAGTCTACTTAGACTATTACTATAGATACATTAATGCTATTGGGAAGAGGCTAATGGTTTAATGTCACTGCATTAAACTTGTGGGCATATAAACATGCATGTATATTACATTTGATAAAGAACTTTGATGGAATTCACCATCTTGATTGTCCACGTTGATTTTATCACCATCACACTGAGTGAATGAGAAACTGAACACAAGATATATCATCAGCAATTTCATGGAGTTAGTGTTGCTCAGAATTACTGGCTGATGATTCCATGCATGAGTAGTATAGTACTCCTATTATAACCTATTGAATAAATGATTATTCATAGCTCTGACCGTGAAAGTTAATTAGTTGCGCCCTCTAGATATATCCACCTAGAAGATGAAGATGTTCTGGATTGCATTATTGTTCCTTGTAGCTGAAGGAGTACTTTCCATGGAATGTCCTGCTCAAAAAGATGCCGAAGTCCTGATACTTGGAGCTGGAATGGCAGGCATCACTGCTGCGAGAACACTGCACGACAGTGGGATAACTAATATAAAAATATTGGAAGCAAACAGCGAGAGAATTGGAGGGAGAATAAGAAATGTAAGTTTTATGGGAGTCCAGGTAGAAACTGCAATATGCCTAGTTCCTTTAGCTGGTGATGAAGCTAAAAGAGTATCGGGTCTCACTAAGGATGAAATCTACAATGAAATTATGGATGTGATGCGACTTTGGTATGGTAGTGATATTCCCAATGCTACTGACATTGAATATTACGACTGGTATAATGATGAGTTTTATCGGGGCATGTTTTCCAACATCCCACTAAATCTAACTCTTGAAGAGAAAGAAAACCTTGCTGTACCAGAAGGAAGGTTATACTTCAGTGGTGAAGGTGTCATGGTCTATTCTACTGGAACTGTTCATGCTGCCTACTGCAGTGGCATTGATTCTGCGACTGATATACTAGTAAAGAAAGGCCTTAGTGAGGGGAGTAGTTTTCTACCCAAATGTGAAGATGAAGCTACAATGCCACCATCTCAAAAACCAAGCCCTACTCCAACAACTACAGCGCCTCCTTCCTCTGCTTATTCTGTGAGCAACACTTCTCTGATTAGCCTCATCATAGCACTCTTCTTTGCTACTCTTTTTGCTGCATTTGACTAAACACAATATATAGTCCAACTTTTGATGTTGTTCTTTAATTTTTAGGCCATTGTTACACTATACTTTTTCTATTCTGTTTCTAGATATATTTTTAGTTGCTTTTTTGTCCTTTTGAATTAAATGGGTGTTTTTAAAAAGGAGTTTGTAAGAATTATATCATGCGCACAACATATGCTGCTCTGCAAGGTTATTGTTCATGATTATAGTTCTATATAATGCATGCAAAGTTAACATTCTAAGTATTTTCTGATCCATTTAGTCCATGTATCAACCAATCAAGTGTCAATAATAAAGCTCACAATAGAGTATAATACATAATCTATAACATGCAAATACTCTGATTTCATGGATAATTGTACTTAGAGTTTTACAATCACTCTCTCAGACAATGGGCTGCTTTACTCCATGCTTCACAACACAGCAATGCTATTATGTGGTTGGCATGTCACACATTATACAGAAGCATGCACTAAATAGAATTGTCCTCATTTGCAACCACAAATATTTTTAGTTGCCCAAATTTTGGTAGATGAGCAACAAGAAATCACCATTACATGCCTTAACTTCAAGTTACTAGTAGGTTATTATTATTAGTAGCTTAATTTGAATGTGCATATAGTGTGAATTAATGTAGCAATAATAAAAATATGACATAAATCAGATATGCAGTACATGTTCACATGTTTTTTACGTTCAACTCCCTCCTAACTTTTGTGGTTAATCATTCCTACACCTATGTATATTTCTAGTCTCGCCACGTCCCTTCGCAGGTAGTGAAGGGGCATGGCGAGACTAGTATATTTCTTGCTAGTACAAAGACAGACTCTCTTTAGCTGCATTTATTGTGTCCTTTAATGTAAAAAAAAACTTAAATAATGGGAAAAAACAAAATAGATGGTCATAATAGTTTCAAATAAATTCATAAGAATAACATAATTGAATCAACACTGTTCCATTACAGCCCACTGGATCATGGAACACTCTTCATGTAAATGGAGGGCACTTCCTGTAGCAGGTATAGATCTATGTATGAACAGAAGCTAGGTTATTATAACTATCAGCTATTAGGATCCATTGGTATAAAACTGTTATCATGAATAAGATCAATACATCCAGTTGGAAGTGCTTCTATTGCTACTAATCTGAATTGTGTAACATCCAAACATAAAGATGCTCTGGATTCTGCTATTATTTCTCACAGCTGAAGGAGTACTTTCCCTGGAAAACCTTGCTGTACCAGAGGGAAGATTATGCTTCAGTGGTGAAGGTGTCATGATCTATTCTACTGGAACTGTTCATGCTGCTTACTGTAGTGGCATTGATTCTGTCACTGATATACTAGGGAAGAAAGGCCTTAGTGAGAGGAGTACCTTTCTACCCAAATGTGAAGATAAAACTACACCTCCGTCCTCTGCTTATTCCATGAAAATGTCTCTGGTTACCCTCATCATGACATTGTTCAGTCTCTTTTTGATGCTGCCTTAGCTGATTAATGATGTTAAGCATCAGTCTTTCTAATTTAGAATTTTTGTAGGCCACATGATTTTAGTATTATCTAGTTGTCAGGATTATTTATTGTCCATGCATGC